CACGACTTTCATTACTTTCTCAGCCACATCCCAGTAGTGTGCCTCGCCAGTAAGGAATGCCAGGTATTTCATCTCGAGTTGGAGAGTGGTTGCTTCGGCGGTAGATGACGCACCGCCGTCGGCGTGCGAGGCTTCGCCTTTGGCGTCTCTTAGGATCACACTGGCCCAGGGTACACCCGAAGGTGACTCGTACGCGCCCATGAGACGATCAGCCAGGTCGGTGGCTTTCTCCAGGAAAAGGTCCTCCTCGTTTGAGTTCTCAGGCTTCAGGCCCGGAAGTGTCTCTTGCAAGTAGTGTGCAGACAGCAGCCCACCAAGCATGCGTATAGTTGTCTCGAAGGTATTGACATCCTGCTTCTTGTCGTAATCGAGGCTCGTCGAAATCCATTGCCGTGCGTGGGTGAGTTCTTTAGTGAGGTTCATGATCATGAGAGTATCGAGTGCGTCCACGATGATCCAGCCCAGACCGTTGGGCTCAGCCATGTATCGTCCCTTCTTCGAAACAGGGTGGTACTCGTCGTAGCCCCAGCCATGCTCCTCGTACGCGTTCCAACTCAGTAAGAAAGCGTCCTTGACTGCTTGTCTCCGCTTCTCCCAATCAACTTTGCTCTTCTTTCCGGCAGCACTTCCACCTATATTTGACAACAAGCTCTTGCCCCTATCCTTCTCATCTTGTACTGTGCCCACGTTTGTGCCACCACTAGACCATCCGAACCAGTAGAACAGCCCCAGCACTACCAGTGCTATCAGCGACATGCCCCTCTTACTCCGCAGGAAGCCCTTCCTTCCCCTCGCACCACCGCCATATCCATAGCTTTTCCCCGAAGGCTTGTCCTTATACATTGGCAAGCCCTTTTCGTTCCCCGGTAGTTTGTTCCAAACATTATCTTCAAACTTTCGTTGCGCGCTCTCGAAATTGGGTACGTTGCGCGGGATGGCGAAGGACATATCTGAGTCCTGGATCGCCTGTTTCGTGGCCTCGACTGCCTGCTTGGTCGATTCGACGGCTTGCGAGGCTTTCTTGTTGGCGGCGTTCTGGAGGACGGCGAAGGCGGAGGGTGTCTTGAATGCTGTTTTGCTGCGGAGGTTGAACGGGTCGCGTGTCGAGTTCATGAGGCGGCGCGACGCGTAGTGCTGATTAAACAATAGACCAGGCGGAGCGAGTGTAGTTCACCCTTGCGAAGTCTGATAACTTGACATCTTGCTCCAGACTCCAGTCGACTTGGGAAGCAATGCTCAAAGCGCCCTCTGTCTGACTCGCCAGGTGTTCATTGCTCATCCCCGATGCAGATAGCTTGGCTAGACAGGGGTCCCGCATCTCAGGAAACATCAGCCACAGCGGAGTTCAATGGGGAAGCTCCACCCTCAAACCTCAGCCTCGTTGCGACTCGCAAGCATCGCTCTTCCTTGTGCTACAGACAGGACACGCGTACTCAGGCACAGGCACAGTATAGCCTCCTTCCGCACCCAAATTTAAATTCGGCACGATGAGGTACCCAGGTATATCAACAGCAGCTGCGATGCGGCGATGTATTTTCCAGAAGTACTCGAGCATTGTTCTTATGATCACCGCCCACCCTGCAGTATTTACGATTACCGCGTCTTGTCGTCATTGCTATTTACGCGTTACGTGATGGCTTGCTACACCAAGGACGAAGTGCGCTTCCTATTCTTTGCCCTCTTTTCCTGTCTACCTTTACACCGTTGTTTTCGTATTTCTCGCACACCTTCCCCGCCAGTACATAGAACAGAGACGCCTAGCATCGGAAAGGCACAGTCAAGAGTGCATCTACGGAAGAGCAAGACGAAGCGATACGATTCTTCATCTACCATAACCATCTCACCAAGCGAAACGCAATGCCAGGTGGAAGCATGAAGCGCATTCAGATTACACCAGACGGCTCGGGTCCACCTACGAAACTCGACACCGACGTCCCTACCTCTTTACCCGACGCCAAAGAAACCAAGATTCATCCCCAAAACGCCCCAGACGCTGCAACGAATGCCTCCCTCTTCTTCGTTGGAACTGCCACCACAATCCTAGAGTGGGAGGGCATCCGCATTCTCACTGATCCCAACTTCCTACATGCTGGCGATCATGTTCACCTGGGACCAGGCGTTGGTGCGACGAGACAGACCAACCCCGCCATCGATTTGGAAGAGCTACCGAGGATCGACGTGATTCTGCTGTCGCATTACCACGAAGACCACTTCGACCGAGAAGTAGAGGAGAAACTGTCAAAAGGTCTCCCGATCATCACTACACCACATGCCAAGGAATGCTTGACAGGCAAAGGCGAAGAGTCGTTCAAGAATGTGCATGCGCTAGACTTCTGGAACAGCTTGCTCCTAGATGTATCGCAGTCTGACCAACCAACCAAAAGTGGTCCGAAGCCTAGCATCAAAGTCACAGGTGTGCCGGGCAAGCATGTACCCCCAGGTCCACTGAACGTCGCGAACGATATTCTTGGCGCTGTACCACCTACGAATGGCTGGATGGTCGAATTGGGGTATTCGAATGGTTCTTCTAGCGACGGCAGCGATTTCGAGAACGGATACAGGATCTACATCTCCGGTGACACGCTGATGGTGGACGAGCTCAAAGAGATCCCTGAGCGATACAAGGACCAGAACATCGACCTGATGCTGGTCCACTTGGGAGGCACCACGATCCCGGGGCCTAAAATGCCATTGCTGATGGTCACAATGGATGCCGAGCAGGGTGTACAGCTCATGCAGCTCATCAATCCCGACCTGACGATTCCGATCCATTACGACGATTACGATGTGTTCCTGAGCCCGCTGGACGATTTCAAGAAGGCAGTGCATGCGGCGGGTCTGGATAGCAAGGTCGTATATCTGGACCGCAAGGATCAGTACAAGTTCAACGTGAAGCAAGGACAGAAGCCGAAGCAATCGCTGTATTAGTAGCCCTATCGGTAGTGACTCTGTAGCTAGCTGTTCAGCAAAATTGACCATGATACATGATGATTCTTGGTGCACGTCGGAAACAGGCTGTGGTGTTCGGAATGAAGTTTGACTTTTTTCATTCCTGGTGGTAACCCAGTGTGAAGGGTTCCGTGATGCCATTGAACAAAATTTATCCGTTGAGACGCCGTCCGCCCATGCCTTCGTGCTTCGTGCGCATCGTGCGTTGATGTCCTTGCACACTTCCGTCCTCAGTTCCTCATGCGTTCGATCCGTTTATGCGTGCTTGCCCTTGGGGTTCTTCTTGCCAACGTCGGTGATGGTAAGACCTGCGGTTGTTAGATTCGTGTCATTGGCGCTGCAGTATTGGGGATGTGCGTACCCGGGGGCAGACTCTGCTTGAGCTTCTCGGCCTTGTCGGTGTCCTTAAGAACGAGGGTGTAGACGTTTGTTGAGCATCGGACCTTGAACTTAATGTTGTTGACCTTCTTGTTCTTCTTTATGCGGGCGGCTGCGATAATGTCAGTCCAGTGCTCTCATCACGTTCGCTGCCTCGATCGTCGCAGGTCTCTGCGGCTCGCATTCATCGTGCACAATTCCTCCTCCTACTGCGACCGCAACCTCCCCCGGCAAAAGTGGTAGACGTACACTTGGCATCCTTGCGCCTGCAGATCTCGATGAACTGCTTGATGTCGGAAACTTCGGAAGGCATCTTGACGATTTGTGTGTGGACGGGTCGTTGGAGTTCGGGATCGTGAAGTTCGGAGACGCCTAGGCACAGGCCAAAAATGCTGTGGACTCGCTTGAAACGCACGGGCTGCGAAGGGGCTGCCCGTAAGCGTTGCTGCTTTGGGCCTGGTGGGGTGACGACGAGTGTGGCGTAAACCAGGAACGCCATGGCTGCGTCGCATGAAACAGTGCTGCCTACAACCCTATAACTGCTGCAATTCTTATCCAAAGTTCATCCCGCTTCTCGTCTCGCTCAGAACCCCTTGGATCTCTCTCCACACACGCATATACAAACAACTTCCACCCTTCAGCATGCCGACCCCCATCGATCGCGCGGTCCAACAACGTGTAGGTTACTCATGGCTCTCCTGGCATCTGCTTTACATAGTGGGCCTTCTACACGCCACTGCAGCCGTATACTAAGATTATGTAGGGCCCGTTCTTCGCTTTTGCTGCAGTCGTCGCTGGTGTAGCAGCATGGAGCATCTGGGGACAAGACATCTTCCCTAGTCAAGACCCTACTGGCGGTACGTCATTCTGAACGTCTTCATCGGCAAAGCGTCTCTCAAGTTCAGGTTTGCTGACAATGATTTCAGACCCAGAAACATGGACACACGATCAATGCGTTACCTGGCTCAAGCACGTAAGTTCTCTAAAGCCTCGGTGTGACGAAGGGCACATGATAGCTTCGGCTACCTTTCAGCGATGAATGTCTTCTTCACACTGAGGTACACGCCGTTGATCTTGCTTATGCTAACGCCACATCAGAGAAATTTACATCCCTCCCCTGTTGCAACAACCGCTGAGCTATTAGAGCGGATCAAGGCGAATATGAGGGTCGCTAGGGAACGAACACCAGGTCAATAGATACGTGTAGCGCAAGAATCTATCCAAATCAATCAAGTTGCAGGCTTAGTTACAAACTTCCAGCACCGAGAGACCCTTTGACTCATGAGCCGGACTGAATGTCGACTAAGCCCCCCTAACTCCTGCAGAACACCTTGGTAGTTGCCTGGCTGAGCCATTGCTCACCGATTGAACGCCAAATCAACCTCGAATATCTCCAGGCCTCACCATAATTTTCCCACCATAACTCCTGCAAAACACCTTGGTAGTCGCCTCGCTGAGCCGTTGCTCACCGATTGAACGTCAAATCAACCTCGAATACCTCCACGCCTCATCGTATTTCTCGCCAAACAGCTCCCGCAGAATACCACGGTAGTTGCCCGGCTGAGCCATTGTCCATCCATCCAACGCATATAAAAACTTGACTTCCTCCCGGCCTCATCACATCGCATCAACGCCGTACTCCTTCCAACACACTTTTGGCCCGTTTCCACAAATTAATTGCCATCGTCAGCCTTCTTGAACTCCTGCAGAACCTCAACGCTAGTGCTGTAGTGCTCAGCCTCCTCGGTGTAAGCGCTTTCCTCTTCCAGCATCTCTCTGTTGAGACGATCCAGCTCCTCGGCCATTCGCTGCTTGTAGGGGCCCATCTGTTCATCGATTTCAGCCTGCTTCTTGGCGGTCTCCGCACGCCTCTTGCGCATATCATCGAGCTTTTTACGCTGATCTGCCAGCTGGCGCTCGATGGAAAGCGTCTTGGGTGTTGATGAGCGCGGAGCTGTAGGCAAGGTAGAGGGTGGCAAAGACGTCGGCACGGGCGTAGGTACGGACTTCGCACGCTTTGGCTCCGGTGTCATACCATTGGCGGTGGTAGATGAACGTTTGACTGGTACGACTGCCACTGGGGGCGTATCTGACTTCTTCTGACCGTTGGTAATGTTGGTAGTGACAGGTGCTGATTTCGCGGTCGCCTTATTTGCTGGAGTGATGGGCGTTTGCGGAGGCTGCTTGGTAGTCGCCTTGGCTACGGATACGGACTTCTCTGCGTGCGCGTTTGCCGGCTTAGTGCTTGATTCTGGAAGACTGGATACTTTTGCGATCATGTCGGCTACCGGTACAGAAGGCGCAGCGGCGATCTTTTCTGTAACTTTCTCACCACCGCTATCGGAAATAGAGGTAGATGTGATGTTATCAGTATCTCCATTGGCAAGTGCCTGATTGGGCGCCGCGGTCGGTTGTTCGGAAAGTGCAAGGGTCTTGTTCTGGGTTTCTGAGCTCATGGTGCCTTCAGGGGTCTTTGGTTTGGGTCCAGATTTCTTCTGAATGGGGCTGGAGATCTATAGGTAGGTATTAGAAGTAGGCAAAAATTAGGCTGAGTCAGGAGTCAAGGTGATGCGAAGATGGAGGCGGAGGGAAAGGTAAAGTTATGGAAACCTTTCTCTTACCTTTGGGGCTGTCTGTGCGCTTTTCGCTGGCGTCGTGGAAGGCATTGGCGATTCGGATCGCGACGAGGCATCTCCGTCGTTTTTCGATGGGGGCTTTGCGCCTATGGTCAGAGGAGGAAGAGGTTCCAGCACTAGAGTATGCGCTTCGCCTATATCTTTGTCGTCAGGGTCGAAAGTCATGACCATGTCGCGGTCGAGAATGTCGTCTGGATCACCATGTTAGCCGCACACTTGAGAAGAGTCAGACATGCTAACCTTTTGTTCGATAGTGGAAGCGAAATATAGCCCACGGCTCTGTACCTGGGCGTCTCGCATCCGCCCTACGCTGGTAGATTTTCGGTTGATTATCCTCCAGTGGAGTAGTGTCCTTCTCGAAGTTCATCCTGAAAATGGGAGCTATGCGGTTGTAGCCTACTTTCTGCTCGATACCGCCCGTATCCCTGTCTTTTACATCACTTCCGTGGGCGTAGTACTTCTTTACTTTGCCAATTTCGTGCCAGTCTCCCAGTTGGCGGGTGATGTACAGTCGCAGCTCCATGGTTCCGATGGTTTCTGGGGCGTCGTCTTGGATCGTAACAGCATGCTCGAGTGGAACTACCGTAATGGCGGTATCGATGATGCCTTTTGTGGTCTTGTAAAGAAAGGTTTCGGTGTCGACTTTCCTGTTGTGTAGGATCACTGACTTAGCCACATGCGAGCCGGCTTTACGGAGTATACCGTCTACAAACGTGTCATGGGCTACAGCCAAAGTCTGTGATTTTGTTAGAAAGTTCTGATGAGTTGATGTAAGTGATAGTTACCTTGCCGGAGAACCTGCCGCCCACTTTAGGCTGATGGCCCTCATCGATGGGTACATAGCAGCAAATTGCGTTGTCTCTCGGGTCCACGTACTCTCCATATTCCTCGAGAGCCTGAACCTGACCCTTGACATAGATATTGACCTGGGCCTTTCTGTCGGTATCCTTCTCAAGAACTCTCATTCTTGGAAACGTTGTTATGTGACGAATGTTTGAAGTGACCGAGATATTTCTCGCGTGGACCAAGACTCAGCTGGATATCAATGCGAAGTAGCCGTTGGATCGAGGAGTACGGAAGTCGTTACTGTAGTATATCTGATGATGCAAGCGAGTTGGGTACGTCCGTGTCAGTTGGAAGAGGACGTGTCTGAGCGGCAAATCAGATCGTTGCTCGCCAGCAGGGTCTCATATGAGTAGTACTGATAGTGCGGAGGGTCGAGGATATCTGGAACTATGAGCGCCTCCACCGCCGACTGTGGCGCTTTGGGGCTTCGGTAGTCGCGTGCCTGCTGTTTTGGGCCACTAGGGGCAACGTGAGCCTGGAGAAGAAAGCTTGGTATGAGACCGAAGATAATATAAGATATCCGAGATGGGAAGGGGTGGAGAGAGAGGAAGAGGGTGCGTCTCAAAGATTGGGAGACCTGATGAAGACGGCAGAGTGGTGAGGTGAAGGTGAGAATAGTCAGGTGGGTGACACATGCTAGAGAAACGCTGTGATGCCAGGGACTGCCACGTCTGCCAAAGCATAAGTGAGAGTCACCTTAGGAGCGCTCATATACTCAGACAAACGTGACGGCTTATGTGAGTAGAATTCTTATAGAGCGCACCAAACCTAGTCTGCTCTGCGGAGCAGCACACTATCAAGAGCCCAAATGCTATACAAGGTCCTGGAGCAACTCCACATGAATCACTCCTTGTTCTCAGGGCGACGATTATGACTGGCTTGAAGCTTTCTAACAGAAATATGTGGATCCTGCCATCGCTATGGCCCGACACGAAAGGGCAATGGGCATGCTGCGGGCAGTTCGTGTTGACGGTGCCATTGTTCGCTACTGGGATGATCAAAACAATCTACTCACCCATAGATGTGAGCTCCTCCATGGCTACCTATCAGATGATTTTGGTGTGGGATGAGATACTTTGTGCTGTGCGAATCGTAGCCCAGGCGATCACATGCAAACGGACTCGTGATGAATTAGGCAGGCGCGGTGACTGTGAAAATGGAAAGACTCATCCGGAGAAGAGAAGCTGCGAAAACGAGAAGAAGCATTTATGGGAACGAGTGAAAGACATTGTGCCCTGCGTCGGAGATAATAGAGAGAGCGAGCCGCGGCGGAAGGACGGATGTGGTCATTCGCCAAGCGCGGTTTCTTCCTTCGGTTCGGATGCATTTTCGGGGGACGGCAGCTTCAGCTTGTTTCTCTCCACCTCAAATCCCTCACCACCAGCCCAACGCCGCAACTCCACCATGTTGTCGAGGACCTCCCAAAGAACAGCGCAGGTACGAGCATGTCTATGCGCCCGCAATTGGCGGGCGCGGTCGGAATTCGAGTGCTAATGCGCCTGTGCAGACGCTCCTGCGGGGCGCGAAGCCTGCCTCCCGATGGGCACCCGCCATGGCTACCCGCTGTACGAAGACCACGTGAAAGATATCCAACAATGCAGAGTCTAACGCGGCGACAGCAATGGCCACGGTCACCCAAGACATCTTCAAGCCCACCAAGTTCGGCGGCAAATACACCGTTACCCTGATTCCTGGTATGCGCGATAGCCGCCTATAAATGGACATAGATTCTGAACATGCGCAGGTGACGGTATCGGTGCTGAGGTCTCCGAGTCGGTCAAGGAGATCTTCAAGGCGGACAACGTGCCCATTGAGTGGGAGCAGGTCGACGTCTCTGGTGTCGACTCTGGCAACGTCCACTCCGAGGAGCTCCTCCGCGAGTCCATTGCTTCGCTCAAGCGCAACAAGCTCGGTCTCAAGGGTATCCTCCACACGCCCGTCGAGCGCTCCGGCCACCGTTCCTTCAACGTTGCTCTCCGTCAAGAGCTCGACATCTACGCCTCCATCGTCCTCCTCAAGAACATCCCCGGTTACGAGACGCGCCACAAGGACATCGACTTCTGCATCATCCGTGAGAACACCGAGGGTGAATACTCTGGTCTCGAGCACCAGTCGGTCAACGGCGTCGTCGAGTCGCTCAAGATCATCACCCGTGAGAAGTCGGAGCGCATCGCCAAGTTTGCGTTCGCCTTTGCGCTCGCCAACAACCGCAAGAAGGTTACCTGCATCCACAAGGCCAACATCATGAAGCTCGCCGATGGTCTGTTCCGCAACACCGTCAAGAGGGTTGGTGAGGACTACCCCACTCTCGAGACCAACGACATGATTGTCGACAACGCCTCCATGCAGTGTGTCTCAAGGCCCCAGCAATTCGACGTCATGGTCATGCCCAACTTGTACGGAGGTATCCTTTCCAACATCGGTGCTGGTCTCGTTGGTGGTCCTGGTATCGTCCCCGGTTGCAACATGGGCCGCAACGTCGCCGTTTTCGAGCCTGGATGCCGTCACGTCGGTCTCGACATCAAGGGCAAGGACCAGGCCAACCCCACTGCTCTGATCCTGTCCGCCGCCATGATGCTCCGTCACATTGGTCTCGATGACCACGCCAACCGCATCTCGCAGTCCGTCTACAAGGTTATTGCTGACGGGTAAGTTCAAATTTCAGATGAAGAGCGACATGTGACTAACATTGACTAGTACCGCCCGCACACGCGACATGGGAGGCAACACCACCACCCACGAGTTCACGCGCGCAGTCCTGAACCAGATGGAGAAGGCATGATTTAGCCGTCATGATCTTCGTGTTTGCTAAGCTTTGATCTAGCGCGATGATACCGTCACATCTAGGCCTCGGCTCACATTGGGTTAACCTAGGATATGGAGCAATAACATATTTTCTTAACGATTGGACGCAATGGCACTTGTACAACTACCAGCTGGAATGTGAATAGAGCTGTACTTGTAGGTGGTATATAGCATGCTGCATGATTGAATTGACCATTCTTATACCCTCGTGAAAATGCCAGACCCAGAACTCCGTGCTATGCGTAACATCGTCATCGTGATGTGGGTATATCTAGAATTGGATCCTCCTCTTCCTGCCAGTGTACTTGGACGAGGCCTTGACGACCTTTCCTTGTCTCTCCATCTGCTCCTTCTTCTTCATGATGTACGCCTTGCTGCCCTTGCGTTCCTCGCCCCTCTTCATGCCCTTGGCTTTTCTCCGTGCATCTTCGACGTCGACGCCGTCCATACCCCTCACAACGCCCGTGATGTCGCCATCCAGCGCGCCACCACCCACGGTCAGAACAAGATACGTCTTCGCGCTCTTGGTCCCCATATCGTCCTCCAAAAGACCTGCACCGAAACCAGCCTTGATCGCCGCCTGCGCCACCATCTTCTTCTGCGCGTCGTTCTTAGGATAGAACTGGCAAACAGCCCTCCCTCCCCTCTTCAGACTCGCATAAAGCTGGTTGAAGAACCTCGATAACCTGCCCGCAGGACTCTCCTCGCTCGTCTCAGCATTGCACAACCATTGGACCGCACTAATGCTAATCGCTGCATCGAAAGTTCCTGGTCTAAATGGCACACCCTGCCCCGCATCTGCCAGCAGCAAATCCCCTTCTACCTCTTTCTCCAGCGCAACGCCCAGCATCGATGCGCTGATGTCGAAACCAATCCATACGTGTGGGCCGCCGGGTGTGCCTTGTTCAGCCGAATGCGACAGGATCTCGCCGCTGAGACCGGAGCCGCAGCCGACGTCGAGGATCATGGATGGCGAGGTGAGCGCGAGGAGGGAGAGGGCGCGGTGGGTCATTGTGGATTGGATCTTTTGGATACGGGAGGAGGTTGTGTATTTGCGCGATTCGGAGTCATTGTAGAAGAGGTCGGGTGGTCTGTATATGTGTAAGCACTGTGTTCTTCGCTATGCGATTTGTGGTGTTGGGAGAATTGCGTACAGGATGTCTTCGGGGCGCGACATGGTTGCGGTTGGTAACTCTGAATCGTTGGACAATTGACTGTAGCACTCTTCTTATCGCGTGGAAATACGGAACTTGTTTGCGCAGTGATTGTCAGAAGCGAGCGTGTCTGTCAGTTGCTCGACGCACCTTCAGCCAAGAGTTCGCACGACTTTTTGGAGTTGGACCCCACACTCTGGCGCGGGTCCACGGGTTTCTCCGCTAGCCTTGATGCCACCTTTGGACTGACCTCATCGTGCCGCGGCCAAACTTCCAGCCTTCCACACTTCATCTCTCTTCGCATTCCCCTGAAGTGTGCCAAAAGTCAACATGTGGATATTACCGCTGCTTGGATATGTCGGCGTTATCCTGGGCTTCGCGTTCCTGACGCTTGCGATAGGTACTTTGCTGTGATGCTCTCGGTCTTTGGCTTCATGGGGCTAACGCAACGTAGCTTCCGGCCTGTACTACCTTTCTGAACTCGTGGAAGAGCATACCGTCTTCGCGAAGAAACTGCTCTACCGGCTCATCTATGGCGTCGTTGGCATACAAACGCTCCTTCTCGTAGTCGATAGGTTTCCAATTGGGCTCAGCGCATTGAGTGTCGGGTCGCATTTCATCTATGCGCAGAACCTAAGGCGATTCCCTATCGTCAAGCTCACGGACCCACTCTTCTTGGCCTCTTGTGGTATGCTATGATGCTTGGAAGTCTCTACTGGCGCAATGCTGACCATCATCTCCAGCTCTTGTGATTGCGAATCACTACCTGTGGTTCCGCCACTTCAGTGCTCCGCCGGCAAACTCGTACTCCTCGTATCCCTACTCTCGTGATGCCAACATTCCTACCTTCACCGAAATCGCATCCTACTTCGGCCTCTGCGTCTGGCTAGTCCCTTTCGCCTTGTTCGTCTCCTTGTCTGCCGGCGAGAATGTCCTCCCCTCGATGGGCTCGGAGTACGCGACCGGAGATGGTAGCAGCTACATCACGCCAGGGACAGCACCAGCATCTTACGGAACCGGAACCGGAACAGGCATTGGCGTCGGTGGAGCCAGTAGCGGCATGGAAGGGAAGAGGAGGGCGAGAAGTGGAACAAACGCAGGCATGGCAAAGGCTGTCGTCACTGGCGTCAGAGAGTGGGTTGGAGAGACAGGAGAGGTTATGGGTTTGTGGAAGGGTGAGAGGACGCGGCCGACATTCTAAGAGCTGGGTCTCTATGGGATATGATTGTACGAGTAATGTGGATGCTTCATGCAAAAGGTTGTTGCGGACTGGTCGGTTTGCCTACGTGCCTGCACTTGTGTCTTTTCACTTTGCGAAAATCGCTCCATTGTCGTGAAAAGCGCCAAACGATATAGCGCACGCGACTTGCCAACCCACAGGCCTTCACTTTGTCTCACCCCACTTCCCACCTCAACTTCGCGTCACAAGACACTTTTGGGGATCTCTGACTTACTATTCCTACACCTTCATTCGCGATGGACGACGTACATCCCTCACGCACGTACAAGGTGCTTCCGGTGCCCCAGGTACCCCAGATACCGATGCTGCAGCGCGAGACTGCGTCTATCCAGCCAGAGAAGATCGACACGCGCAGCGCTCGCAATCTCTTGTGCAAGGTCTTCAAGAAACCCTACGCTCATCCACCTGCTGCGAAGAAGTTGCAGGCCAATCATGTTCAATTCCTACTTGAGACGCCTATCGGTCGCGACTTCAATCTGATTACCGCCGCTGGTGTGGAGTTCAAAGTACATTCTGTCATGTTGATTGGCGGCCCGAAGGCTTTACAGGAGGGACTGTTTCCTGGTGGTGTAAGCTTTCCCGTCTTGATATTTACTATGATTGAGACTAACACGACCAGGCAACAATTCCAAACCCACCAGAGTTCGTCAACCTGCCGCCTCACTTCCATCCTATCCTCATGGACCGAATCGTCAATTTCATCTACACATCGGACTATCTGGTCGTCCGGGACGGTAGCAAGCAGCTCATTCAGAAGAACTTCAAGTTCTATCACGCAACTGTTATTCCAGATGTCAACCCGCCCACCGCCGCTACGACCGCTCTAGTCGACATCCACGACTACACCTTCCATCTCCACATGTACGCTCTGGCTGAAGAGCTCGACTACGACGCGCTGAAGTCAGCTGCCCACACTAAGCTCGTCCAGCTCTTCATTAACGTGCGCAACGAAACTCCCTCCGCGATCAAAGACGCCATCAACGCTACCTTTGCCCCGTTGGGTAGCCCATCTCGTATCTGCAAAGACGAAGACGGCATGTTGCAGCAACTAGTCGTAGCAGCCGTCCTCGCGCACGAATTCAAGACCTGGACCGAAGTAGACCAAAAAGCATTCAGCGACGACATCCAAGGTCCTGAGTACGCCGACTTCTGCAACGCCTACAACATGGTCAAGGGCGCGAACCAGGATCTTATAGAGATCGGAGATACTGCTAGGTCATTGGCGGCGGAGCGCAAGGCGGGTATGGAGCGCAGGAGGGCAGCTAAGAAGGCCGGTGTTGGAAACGTGGATCAGAGTAAGCTCATGGTTGGAAGCGGCTCGCCTTTGAGCGTGTTGAGCGCGCGGCCTGCAAACATGAAGGATAAGTTCAAGAGGCGTGTAGAGAAGCGGGGTGTTAGTTCGGTTGCGAAGGTGGATGGAGATGAGGATATGGATATGGAGGTTGACTAGACTGCTTGTCTCGTGGCGAGATGTGCACCCTGGAGTCTACGTTGACCTTACGTCGTCTACTTTGCATGCTTTCGTCTTGATGTAGGCTGCAGACCCGTTTGGGGGTTTCTTTATAAGAGATGCTTTCCCGGTTTAACTTGCCGAGCTTGAGATAGTACGTGATTTGCAATGAAATGATGGCAACAACCTGCGGGGTTATAATTAACCAAACGCTTTGTATTTCTGCTTTTGTTCGTGCGCAGGTGTTGATTATCTAGGCAGGGGGCAAGTGAGAGGTGCAGTTGCTTGGTGAGAGGACCTAAAGCGGAGGCGCTCGCTTCCGACTTCCGCCCGAACGCCTACATCATCTTTTCCCGCCCTTACACATCCCCGCCAACGACAAATAATTCCAACCAGCCAATCACCTCATTGTTGATATTGATCGAGCATCACTAGCCATTCATCGGTCGTTCCCATTTTTGCGAAATCAAGCCGCGCTTCGGTGCCGGCTGTCATGGCTTGCAACAGTTGGGAGAAGCTGTGTAAGGCTCAGCGCGACTACCCAAAAGCGAAGTTCGCAGATTCGTTCGTATCAAAATCGCTCAAGAAGACGCCCAAGAACCCATTTCTCTTGGTATGTCAGTCGACATCGGAAATTTCATTCTCAGGCTAATTTCGAGCAGGCATGGAAAGCTCGGTTATGTCTTGCATTGAACAATGTGGACACCGATGTAGCAAATTTGGTACAACAGGCCTGGGAGCAGCCAGGGGTGAACGACATTCGGCTGCTGTCCTACTTATATAAGATCTTAGCCGACGCTACGCGAAAAGATCAGGACAATAACCTAAACATCAGCGGAGTGGGCGACGGGAACCTCAAAGTTTGGCAACGTGCTGCGAAAGCCTTGGGACGCAAGGAAGACCGTCAAGATCTCTGGTCTGCTCTAGCGAATGTGGCATTGGCAGAGGAATGCTGGGAAGACTTCCGCCTGGTACGTAAGAACCCGGCATCTGGCCACGACCTGATTGTATCTCGACACCTTTGAGAATGCGCATCTTCGCGCGCCTTCTCGCTACCATATAAGACTACAACAGGGTGATATTAGATTTGATACTAACGCTTGACAGGCTGTCTTTCACTACAGTAAAGAAACCAAGGAGGGCGCTGGATCAACACCTGCAAAAAAGCATGCCCACTTCACGCAAACACTCGCTATTCAACTCGCAGCCGAACAGCAGCGTGGGCTTCCTCAGGGCGAGATGAAAAGCAGATTTCAATTCGACCTGGCTCGTAGACTTTTGAAGCAAGCATACGAGGCGGCTCCAGATGACCCCATCGCTTTCAAGGATATACGCGACTTGCGTTTTATGGGCGAGATCTTCGCGCGGCAAGCGAAGTGTAGCGAGCTGTTCGAACACTGGAACCACCCGCCTGCAGCCCTCCAGGACCTTATGACGAAACATCGGGGTGACTTGTGGGGCATGAAGATTAGACTTGCACGGCAGAGCAAAGAATGGTCTCTACTTGAAAGCCAGTGTCTTGCGTACATTGAGCGCATTACATCACAGCAGGAAAGGTATGTTGAGTTGGCGGCGAAGTGTAAGATCGTAAAGTGGCTGCGGGTTGCTGGAGCGACTTCCAAACCCTACATTTTGCTGACGTCCTTAGCCTTCGAGAGACTTGTGCCTGGAAGAAAGATATTTGGACATCCTTATTAGCCGCCGCGTACGCAACACGCTCCGCTGACGATGCTGTTCGCCTGATCTCCGATATCACAAGTCGTACTTTCAACCCGGAGGAGTTCCAAAGCCAAGACCGCCCCTTGAGACTTGCGTACATGACACTTCGCCAGAATGTCGCTCCAGGAACTCCAATGCTGGCCGGATGTAAGACGTACTGGAAGAACCACGCGAACCTTATCACATGTTACGCAGATATTCGACCATTCCTAGACGGCATGACCTCAAAGGACCGAGGAGAGCTCTGGGAATTTGCGGAAAATCACTACGAAGACGCGAGAAAGTTGTTGGCACAGAATCAGTACCCGGCTCAAGACTGGATTGTTCATTGCGGCAATCGTCTCAAGATGTGTTATCTTTTCTGGATATCACTCTCGACGCCATCTGCTCAAAGGTGGCAAGGGCTCATGGAGGTACCTTTGATCGCCGCATTGCGTGCCCCTCAGTTACGGACACCCAGGTCGCCTGAAGGTTTTGTCGCAATATACACACTCCTCTGGATTCACCAAGAAGCTATGCGCAACGAAGAGCCCGATCATCCCTTCGAAAATACGCCAAACTCACGAGTTCTCCTTCAAGCTGCAATGTTAGCGCGCCATTTGGTGGCGAGCGATAAAGAAAAGCAAAACAGACCGCTGGCACTACTTGCTGCACGGCTGCACCTAAACCTCGGTCTAGGGAAATCCGCTTTCCAGTTGTACAGCCACACCAAATGCAAGGAGATGCTAGTGCATACTTTGTCACCATATGTTCTGTCACGCATCTCACTGACACATCCATTTGGTGCCAAAGGCTACCAAGGATTCTCAGCCGAAGAGGAACTAGGAAAAGCTGTCGGGACAATGGAGAGGATGGAACGCAAGCTTAATGAGGCAGTATGTTCTGATCTCCAGTCGCTTCCATGGGATCAAGCTATGGAACTCTTGGCCGCGAAACGGGATTTCAAGTCGAGCTTGACAAAGCACATATGCAACACAGAGAGCCGTCGCATAGCACGACTCAAGGGTGAACCGATCGATAACATTCCTGTTATCGACTCAAGTAGTATGTTGCACTCGTTTCGAACCTGGAAACTGGCTAATCCATGCAGGCTACCGGAATATCAAGGATGTCGTGGATAGGACCATATTCCCCAACTACGAGCACAGTCAGCATCCTGGACCACTTTCATACATCATGCCCAACGGCCTTCCTGAAGTTCATTGGCTGGCCAAGAGCCTTGATATCTGGGACGCGAGCAGTAGATTTCTCTATAGAGAGACACAGGTGTTGGAGTTCCAGGGCAAATGGATACACCAAGTTGCCATGCCTCCGGATCATGCCTGGGAGACTGAGCCTGACATGACGCTTGCGGAATACCAAGTTGAGGACACATGGGAGGCAATCAATCTCATCGTTAGGACGATGACCTTGCCAGAACTTTCCTTCGAGGCGCTTCCTGGGGCGCTGGAAGCACTTCTGCTGGAGGTTTCCACGATGCGACGTGCAATGGAGAAACTGCGTATGCCTGGCGCCACGCACCAAAAACCCGAAGACGAACCCACCATGTTCCACGAGAATATGCTAATGTCCTGCTATACCAAGTTCGAAGTCCTGCGCGCACTCATCAAGTTGATCGAACACCTACGCGAGAAGGTCATCAATGCGAAGACCCACCGCATGAAGGCCAAGTTGCCAAAGAACTGGGTCAATGACATGGAAACTGAGACGAAGAGTTGTTTCGAGGCGGTACGAGATGTGGCGCATAGCTACATCAATCTCATCGAACAGAGAGGTCGTGCTGCGATTAAGG